TAACCCAGCCCGCTCGTGCCGCTGGGCCACGTGCACGAACGGGAAATTGGCTTTGAATGTAAACATCCAGCGATGGCTGTTTACATACAAGCGGTCAGACGTCTGTAGAGACGTCCGATCACTTGTAATATGCGTGACCCCCTCTCTGTGCATAATTCTACACCTAATGACCAGTGTATTCTATTACAGTTGTCTTTAAAGGGTACCTGTTAACGCATCCAAATGTCAGTGTGAAACACAAATTTATGTAGCCCAGTAATGTGTATTGTATCAAATACAATCTCCACCCCTTCACCTTGTGCCATTGCTGGTGTGAAAACATACACCAAATTAACAAGTGTATGAACTTACAGTTGATACATGTACCAACATGTGAACAGGGCAGCCATCAGAAGTTTTGGGGCCCCTTACACAGCTTTGGGCTTGGGCCCCAGGGCCGGATTAAGAGCATCACGGGCCTGGTGCGGAGGATTTCGGGGGGTGCCTTTTTATGGAAATGTTGACAGTCACCAGGGCCCTCTTCCTCCTGTCTGGGCTGTGATTTGTAGTCTCTTTACAGCTTGAAGTCAGGGGTGGAGCGCCAGGGCCCAGCTGCAGCTGTGAGCTTGTTAGATCTGCCACTGACTCCAAGTTGTAGAGAGACTAAAATCTCAGCAATACATTACACAGCAATGCAGAATACCACCAGCTATAGAGGACTACAAATACCAGCAATACATTATACAGCAATGCAGAATGGCAGCGGCTTTAGAGGACTACAAATCCCAGCAATAAATTGTTAAACACTGCAGAATAATACCATCGGCTAGAGAGGACTACAAATCCCAGTAATTCTTTATACAGCAATGCAGAATATTATGAAGCTACATACCCTGTGTTGCTCCAGTTCACGGCCTGATGTCTCCAGGGTCTCAGGAGGGCTGTGCGGGGTTTTAGAGGGGGCTGTGCAGGCTCTCTGATGGCCAGTGCGAGCTCTGGCCACCAGAGTGTTAATTTCGTGGACAACATTATTTTTTTTTCATTTTTTGGCTGTTTTTTAGTGATAAAAACAAAATGAAAGAGGAGTTACTGGGATGAAAACGATTGTCCGGTACCCAATTTTCATAAACGAAATCAACGAGAATTGTTGTCAACGTTTCTCATTATTGATTATTTGCAGCGCTGCCACCGCCGCTCTGCTCATCTGTTCTCCTCCCCACTGGTGCTGGCTGCAGCGGTCTGTGTCTCTTTCAATCCCACGCTGCTCTCCCCACCTGTGTCGGCAGAGGCAGTGGGAACACAGACAACTGCAGCCGGCACCAGCAAGGAGGCGAGACTGTCACTGCATTGCCCTGCTGCTCCCCCTCGTACCTCTGCTGCTGCCCATTCCTCCTCCTCTGCCCGCCTTGTTCCTCCTTCTCTGCTCCCCCGTTCCTCCTTCTCTTCTGGAGGTGTTCTTTCACCGGCGTCGAGTCTCCACTCAGCGGCTGGAAAAAATTGCCAACCTGCTATTGGATATTTTTAATTGCAATAGCCAATAGCAGGCTGGCTATTGCACACACCCATTGCCTGCTGTCAATTAGCAGAAGAGGACCTGAAGGAGAAATTTCTCCTATAGTTTCTCCTCTGCTGATTGACAGCAGGCAGTGGGCGGGTGCAATAGCCAGCTTGCTATTGCAATTTAAAATAAGCAATAACAGGCTAGCTATTGCCTGCTGTGTTGACATTCAGCTGCCTTAGCAGCTGAATCCAGTGAAGTGGAAAGGTGACACTAGGGCTCAGCGAAGCTGGCCCCCCTTCAATCGGCACAAATAAAAACGAGTGTGTTTCTTTAGTGCTACGTTTGTGCCGCAAAAATTAACATTTGTGCTGTTTTTATTTTTAAGATAATAGCAATTGCTTTTTTTAAGATGATGACATCACCCAGCCGCCCTACAACAGCCAAAACACATGAAACTTGCTGGTTAGTTAGTGCCACGTTTGTGCTGGTTTGTGCCATTTAAATCTCCATTATAGCTCCTTTTGTTTTCGAGTTATTAACTATGAAAGGCAAAAAGAAAAACCAGCACTCCAACAACGATAATAACAGCAATTAGATGCTCATTTATTGACAGATGCTGTCTCTCATTGGCAAGCGCTTTTCGGGGGCCACACAGGGGCCCCTTCTTCAGGCTCAGAGATTACTTTTTTTGGGGGAGTCCCACTAAGGGGTGCGGCAAGTTTTCTTTTTTCTTATTAACTATGAAAGGTCACCATGCCACCCTACAACAGCCACAACACATGAATCTTGCTACCTGGAGCTCGCACTGACTACCTGGAGCCTGCACTGACCGCCTGAGAGCCCAAACCGCCTAAGAGCCCACACTCGCCCTCATAGAGCCGCACTGGCCACCTAAGAACCTAAACAGCCTCCTCAGAGCCTGCACAGCCCCCCTAAACCCCGCACAGCTCTCCTGAGACCCTGGAGACATCAGGCTTTGAACCCAGAGCAACACAGAGTATGTAGCCTCATATTCTGCATTGCTGTATAAAGTATTGCTGGGATTTGTAGTCCTCTATAGCTGATGGTATTATTCTGCAGTGCTTTACAATGTATTGCTGGGATTTGTAGTCCTCTTTAGCTGATGGTATTATTCTGCAGTGCTTTACAATGTTTTGCTGGCATTTGTATCTCTATAGCTGGTGGTATTCTGCATTGCTCTGTAATGCATTACAGGGATTTGTAGTAGGGATGCACCTATACCGGTATTTTGGTACCGAGTACGAGTACCGATAATTTTTTTACGGTACTCGCCGATACCAATTACCGAGTAACGGAAGCCAGGTGGCGTGTAATGACTCGCCACCTGGCTTCCTGATTAGCCGGGAAGCCAGGCAGCGTGTAAAGAGTCGCCACCCGGCTTCCCGATTAACAACAAAGTCCCCTCTTACCTTAGTATGTGCAGCCTTCGTCCGGTAACCAGCCGGAGCCGTCTGGCCGGCCAATCAGGAAGCCGGGCACCGTGTAATGACGCGACGCCCTGCTTTCTGATTGGCCGGGGAGGCCGGCTCCATGCTCTCGTCGTGAGATGACGAGGGAGCATGAAGCCAGCTTCCCGGCCAATCAGAAAGCAGGGCGTCGTGTCATTAGACGGCGCCCGGCTTCCTGATTGGACGGCTCCAGCTGGGTACCGGACGAAGGCCGCATTCTCGCTGAGGCCCCGGGGGTGACAGGCTGCACATACTAAGGTAAGGTAACCATACCTCACGAGGCCAGCTTCCTGATTGGCCAGCTTCCCGACCAATCAGGAAGCCAGGCAGCGCATCATTACATGCTGCCCGGCTTCCTGATTGGCCGGGAAGTCGGCTCCATGCTCTCTCATCACAAGTGACGAGAGAGCATGGAGCCTCTTCCCAGTCAATCGCGAAACCGGGCAGCGTGTAATGATGTGCTGCCCGTCTTCCTGATACCGGAAGTACTCGTGCTAGGCATCGGAGCATTTGGGCGAGTACGAGTACTTGCCCAAATACTCGGAATTGGCTACGATATTGATACTAGTATCAGTATTGGTGCATCCCTAATTTGTAGTCCTCTATAGTTGTAATATTCTGCATTGCTGTATAATTTTTTGCTAAGATTTCTAGTCTCTCTCTACAGGCCCACCAAAATCCTCAGCACCAGGCCCATGATGCTCTTAATCCGGCCCTGGTTGTTGGGGGGCTGGGTGATGTCATCATCTTAAAAAAAACAATTGCTATTATCTTAAAAATAAAAGCAGCACAAATGTTAATTTTTACAGCACAAACCAACCAGCAAGCTTCATCTGTTTTGGCTGTTGTAGGGGGGCTAGGTGACCTTTTGGTGACCTTTAATAAATAGTTAATAACTCAAAAATGAAAGGATATAGAATTGAAATTAAAATGGCACAAACCAGCACAAACGTGGCACTAACTAACCTGCAAGGTTCATGTGTTTTGGCTGTTGTAGGGGAGCTGGGTGATGTTGCTATGATCTTGAAAATAAAAGCAGCACAAATATTAATTTTTGCAGCACAAAACAGCACAAACATAACACTAAAGAAACTCACTATATTTGAGTTTATATTTGTGCCGATTGAAGGGGGGCCAGTTTCACTGAGCTTGACACTAGGGGTGACCCCTAATGTCACCTTAAAGAGAACCTGTCACCTCCGATGTGCTATCACATAGGGGGCTTGTGAGTCCC